TTTGGGATCACATTTGTCCTGTGCATCTCTTGTGTTCTGGGGAAAACAATAGTGGTGTTAATGGCCTTTAGGGCTACACTGCCAGGCAATAACATTATGAAATGGTTTGGGCCCAAACAGCAGCGATTAAGTGTTCTGGGTTTCACACTCATACAGGTCTTGATTTGTGTTCTCTGGGTGACAATATCACCTCCTTTTCCTTATAAGAACATGAAATACTACAAAGAAAAAATAATTCTGGAGTGTGACCTGGGATCTGCAGGTGCATTCTGGGCTGTGTTAGGGTATATAGGATTCCTCTCTGCCATGTGCTTTGTGCTCGCTTTCCTGGCTCGAAATCTGCCTGATAACTTCAATGAAGCCAAATTCATAACATTCAGCATGCTCATATTCTGTGCTGTCTGGATCACCTTTATCCCAGCTTATATCAGCTCCCCTGGAAAGTATACAGTAGCTGTGGAAATATTTGCTATTTTATCTTCAAGCTATGGGTTGCTTTTGTGTATTTTTACTCCCAAATGTTACATTATCTTACTAAAACCAGAAAAAAATTCTAGAAAAAATTTGATGGGCAGAATGCCCTCAAAATCTCGTTGAGAAAAACGATTCTTGTTCTCATCACTTACTGTACATTTTAAAATTTCTATTTAAATGACATAATTTTAAAGTTAGACCACTTTAATACAGATGTTTATTATTCACATCAGAATTCTACACACTTGATATGATTATCAGACAAAGTATGAAAGCATAATAAATTCACTACCATATAATAATTGTCCAGACATTTGCACGATATAATGCAGAACATTTGAATTAAGAAACGTTTTGCATTTGAAAGAAAAACAATAAACTACCTTTAATTTTCTTGAGCCTACGGTGAATACAATATGCAATGCATGTTTTTTTTTTCTACTAATGATCAAATAGTTGCTATTTATGTTTTTGGGAAAAAAAAGCTTTTACTTGTTTTTTAATTTAGAATTGCTGCTTGTTGTTTTACTATACCCACCCAATTCGGAATCACAGCAAAGCCTGTGTCCGTAACACAGGAGAGAACGAGCAAGTGCAGGCAGATGCAGACCCACCCCCTTGTACTCCAGATCCACCTGCTTGTACTCCAACACATCACGGCCACACAGCCCCACGCTGGAGGACAGGAGGTTCACTCACCAACAGCGCTGCCAACCTGGGAGGCCGTGTTACTGAACACACTCTACCCTCGGCAGTGTACAACTGGCTTAACACAGGTTGGGGAAACTCTATCCAGCAGCCATATCACTCTGCAACTCACAACTGGCAACCCACTGAAGCTAAGCAGGTGTGAGCCTGGTCAGTACCTGGATGGGAGACCTCCTGGGAAAAACTAAGGTTGCTAGGGGACACTATACTGTAAACAGGTGCTGTCCTTTGGATGACATGTAAAACAGAGGTCCTGACTTTCTGTGGTCATTGAAAATCCCAGGGCAATTGTTTTAAAAAAGAGTAGGGTTGTAACCCCAGCGTCCTGGCCAAAATTTCCTATTGGCCCTTACCAATCATGGCCTCCTAATAATCCCCATCTATGAATTGGTTTCATTACTCTGCTCTCCTCCCCACTGATAGCTGGTGTGTGGTGAGCGTTCTGGCGCACTATGGCTGCTGTCACATCATCCAGGTTGATGCTGCACATTGGTGGTGGTGGAGGGGAGTCCCCATTACCTGTAAAGCGCTTTGAGTGGAGTGTCCAGAAAAGCACTATATATTGTAAGTGTAAGCAATTATTAATTATTACCCTCAGCAGTAGAACACAGGTTAGGAAATCTCTGTTTCAGTTAGCCATTGACATGAAGCAGCCTCCAATCACAGAACTGCGATGCAAAGATTCTGCAATCACAGAACTCACTTCATGATGGGACAACCAGCCTTATCAGATGAGCCATTAGGAAGGCCCAAATGTTTCTTCTTTGAAAGTGAGCAAGGTGGGACTGTGCAGTGGCTGTGATGCCAGTCCACTGCAGGGTGCACACACAGTGCAATTTAGTGGCAGTTAGTAAGTCCTAGGAAAACTAAAATGAACTGGTGCCTCCAGAGACAACCCACACAGACACAGAGAGAATATCCAAGCTGCACAGAGGGCATCCCAGAAAGTCTGGGATCTCAAAACTGAGAGCTAAGAGCTGTTGGGCACATGGTCTCACCCACTTACATAGTCGTGCTTGCAAAATACATTCAATAGCTTGTGTTTTTAGTTTATTTGATTATATCATTCTGTTTGATTGTTTTTTGTATTGTGCCAAGATGAGAACTTTTCCATATACAGTACAGTGAATTATCAGAATAAGGTCTTCTGTATTCTTTCTGCATTTGTGTAGTTAAAATGTGAATGACACAGATATTACAAGAAAAGGCACAGTGTGTAGTACTAAATACCAAATAATAATCTAGCAAATGATCAGCTTTGATTATACCAAGATCTTGAATTGTCCTTGTGAGTTTTGTAAAAGCTCATCTCAACCTACAGGAAACATGTTGCATCATATTTTTGTTGGCATTTGATTGAAAAAAACTTTTCTAATTACTGAGCCTTTGTTTAACAATTTATAGCGTTTTTTAAAGCTTGTTGTACTAATGCTTAGAAAAAAACAGTGCATAAATATTTCAGGATCTGCTTTTTTATTATCACTTTTTATAAAACTTGTACTGTATTACTGCAGCCTTAAGACTGTACTATTACTTTATAAACTGAATGTTAATAAAGTGGTGTGTAGCCAGTGCTGCTTACTCAAATCTGCAGGATCCTTGAAATAAAATTTGGACTGGAGCACTTGTCTGTATGGAGTTTGTGTGCATCTTCCCCAAGTAAATCAGTGTCCTCTGGGCTCCTAAAAGCATGTAGAAGAGAGCTGACTTGCTGCTTTAAATGCAAGAGTTCAAATAGCCAATAACCCATCTGCCCATCTGTGATTATACAGGCAAAGGCATTGCTACAGGACAACAGGGGTCTCTGAGAAAATGTTTTTTCTCAGTTAATATAACGGAATTGATTTGTTTACTGAACAGTTATCTTTACGCCTCTCCCAATCTATTTTTTTTTTTGCACATGCTTATATACTTCAGCCCTGTTCCAGGATATTTAAGATCTTTATTGTCTTTATATTTATATATAAATACCTTTATATTTCTTATACTTCATAGGAAGAACATTTTTAATGGCCCAGCAAAAATGTAATCAGTACAGATTCCTTGCTTCATATGTCTTGTAAAAAATTAATATATTAATGTGTAGCCAGTCCCTGCGTTATACTGATGAGCATAGCTATGCAAATTAGATGAGCAATATTGATTTATCTCTCTAACTGTAAGGTTTGGCATATACAATTATGCATATACAATCTTATAAAATTGATAGCATTTGCTACTATACAACAAATTAATGGCAGTCTGTACAATGTTCAATGTTTAATTGCAGAAGTCCCAAAAATTAATCTTCTAACTGGATAAATAACAATAAAACAAATACAGTATAAGCATTACTGTAAATATTTTAACTTTAACTTAACTTTTAAAAGTATCATTAAATTAATCATTAAACTTAAAACTATTTTATTATGATTTATTTTGTGTTATGTGTTAGAATGTGATCTAGAATGTGGACTTATGAAGTGTGACGTCATAACATTCTGCTTTTGAAATATAAATGTCATACAGAATCTGAATGCATTCCTACAGTTCCTGTGTGCAGTATTATCCAACTTAACACATTATTAGCAAAGAATGTACTACAAGCAGCCAAAAGTGTCTGAAAAAAAAGTTACAGATAAGAGCAAATTATGACTAGTCCTAAAGGTCCCTTGGAACCCAAAATCAAGCAATGAGCATAAACAATGTCTAATTAGTGTTTGACTGCTAACCCTAACCCTAGCTGGGCTTTCAACACTGCAATCCTTCAGTACATTATATCCCTAAAACTCTCCAGTCATCAGACTTAAAAAGGTTCCTCAAACCAATAAATCTGAGTCTAAAATGTTCAAAAACATGAAAAATCATTCTGGGGAATGTATCTTCGTTCATAACGTGTCTGCTTTTGGCACTTTTTCAGTCAGCTGAAAACTGCATTAAAAATGCTATTGAGATAAGTTTCAGGCAAGAGTAGGGTTTGGGTTACAAGAACCAATAAATGGTGTCTCCAGTTATACATCTAGTTGCACATTAAATGACAAAAGTAAGAACATTTCCCAAGTACTATAGGTTTTCTCACAACTTTTGATCTGAGTCAGTTTCTGGTTACAGTTACTTATCGATGTATCGTACAATATGAGCAGCCAAAAGTCTCCGAAAAAAAAAGGTTCAGATAGGAGCAAATTATCACTCATCCTAAAGTTCCCCTGGGATCCCAAGAACAACAATGAGAGTTAAAAATGTCTAAGTTGTGTGGGAATGCTAACCCTAACCCTAGCCTGGCTTTCAACACTGCAATCCTGCAATCTGTCCATTAAACCCTTCAGTCATCAAATTTGAAAATGTTCCTAAACCAAAAAATATGTGTCTAAAACAATAATAACCATTGAAAATCACTCTTGGGAGTGTGTCTTCTTTCATGCTGTGTCTGCTTCAAGCACTTTTTCAATCAGCGGAAAACTGCTGTAAAAATGGTATTGAAATGAATGTTTATCTCAGGTCATAGTTGGGTGTGGGTTACAAGAACCATTAAATGTTGACTCCAGTTATACATTTAGGTGAACATGAAATTAAAAACAATTTGAGAATTTCCCAAGTAGAACAGGTTTTCTCACAACTTTTGATCTGACTCAGTTTTTGAATACAGTTACTGAATGCTGCATCATATAATATACTGTAAGCAGCCAAAAGTATCAGAAAAAAGAAGTTGCAGATAGGAGCAAATTATCACTTGACCTAAAGTTTCCTTGGGACCCCCAAAACAGCACTTAACTTAAAACATGTCTCAATGGTGCTGGAATAGTAACCCTAACCCTACCTGGGGTTTCAACAGAACAATCCCATAAACTGTCTCTGAAGCCCTTTAGTCACCAGATTAAAAATGTTCCTCAAGCCAAAGAATATGGATCAAGAAAAGTGAAATATGCTTTTGGAAATGTATCTTCTTCTGTAACATGACTTCTTTAGTCACATTTTCAATCAGCTGAAAAATACTATAAAAATGTTATTGAAATGAGCTTCCCCTTCAGGCCAGTATAGGGTTTGGGTTACAAGAACCATTTAATGTTGATTCCAGTTCTACATGTAACTGGGCTTTAAATGAGGAACATTTTCAAATCTAATGAGTGGAGTAAGACAAACACAAAAAGAAGAGTTTCCCCTGTAGAACAAGCTTTTACAACTTTTGATCTGACTCAGTTTTGGAATATTATTACTGAACGCTGCAACACACAAAAGACAGTATTAATTAGTATTAAGCGAATTGATTAATATGTAGCCATCCTCCTTGCTTTATGCTGATTAGCTCAGCTGTGTAAATGAGTAATCACTGTAATCAGTTCTGTGTACTAGTTTACATTCTCGTTAATTAAATTTCCTTGCAGTTAGTAAGTACCGAGTAGTAGAACTATCACTTTTTTTGTCTAATCTGAATAAAGCTAAAAATATGCTACTGCCAGATAATGAAATAAATTAACTCTAGTCACAATGGATCCAGTAAGGTGATTGCATCTAACATGATTATAGTTATATTGCTTTTTATCCTCAGGCTCAGTGAGTCCTTACTGTACCTTTGAGGATTAATGTGCTGATGAGAACACAAACTCGGTTTCAGAGAATTAAACACACGTGCCACCAGCCATAGTATATAAAAGAACAACCTTTACTATTTAGAACTGGATTTTATTGCAATGATACTGATAGACATATTTTTCCTAGCTCTTTTAACAAGTGCAGAAGACCTTCCATGCATGCTGCAAGGATACCCTGAATATTCACAGCTTTCAAAGGATGGAGACATCATAATCGGAGGCATTTTTTCATTTCACAGCAGCTGGAATGAGACAAAACTCACTTTTTCCAACATGCCTGAACCATTGAAATGCAAAAGGTAATTTTACAATGCAGATTACTTATAGTTAAAAGACACTAAATTAAAAATAGCTTACAGCTTTAATATAATGTAAGTTACTGATCAATGTTAAACCAGACTAAATAATGACTTTTGATTTATCTGTATGCATACACACTTGTTTAAATGTAGGATAAAAATATAATAAGAGTAAATTATAACAACACACATGCCATTTAATAATAATAATAACAAAAATAATAATAATTGGATTTTAACATGTTTGTTCAAGTTTAAATTTCAGAGCATATCAATATGCCCAGACTATGATTTTTGCTATAGAGGAGATAAACAACAGCACAGAAATTCTTCCTGATGTTTCAGTGGGTTATAAGATCTATGATTCCTGTAGCTCTATAACTTTGGCTATAAGAGCAGCAATGGCTTTAGCAAATGGGCCAGAAGAAACAGTCTCTGACACAGCCTGCACCGGACCATCTACGGTTCAGGCTATAATAGGAGAGACTTCATCCACACCAACTATTGCTATTTCAACATCGATTGGACCTTTTTACATACCAGTGGTAAGTATATGAAATATTTTAAAAAATGCTAGCTTTTCAGCAGAAGTACAGTATTCTGAAAAAACGCCAGATATGTTTGCGGGTATATTAACCAAATCTTATTTTCCCTCTTGTTTTAGATCAGCCACTTTGCTACCTGTGCTTGTCTTAGTGACAAACAAAAATTCCCTTCCTTTCTCAGAACAATTCCAAGTGACTTTTATCAGAGCAGAGCTCTGGCTAAGCTTGTGAAGCACTTTGGATGGACCTGGATTGGGACTCTCTACAGCGATAATGACTATGGTAATAATGGGATGGCAAACTTTGTGGATGCTGCCCAGAGAGAAGGTGTTTGCATTGAATATTCTGAGTCTTTCTTTCGAACTAACCCTGTGAAGAAGATTCAGAGAATTGTGGACATCATTAAGAAGTCAAGCTCTAAAGTTATTGTAGCTTTCATCTCTCACTTAGACATGGATGTCTTATTGAAAGAATTATCCCTACAGAATGTCACAGGCTTGCAGTGGATTGGCAGCGAATCATGGATTGCCGATTCACATTTTGCCTCAAGAGAAGGGCGCAATGTTTTGCGGGGATCCATAGGATTTGCAATCAGTAATGCTGTAATACAAGGGTTAAAAGACTTTTTGCTGAAAGTCCGTCCATCGACTGGAGATAATCTATACAGGGAGCTCTGGGAAACTGTATTCAGCTGTACATTCCCATCCCCCCAAAATACTGAAATCCCCTTTGCGTGTACAGGAAATGAGGACTTAAGTGTAATAAATAACCAGTACACTGATGTGTCAGAATTACAAATCTCCAATAATGTTTACAAGGCAGTGTATGCCATAGCCAATGCACTGCATATGATATATAGCTGTACAAGTAACCAAAATCAAAATAAGACATGTGTGAACACAAGGAAGACTGAACCATTGCAGGTAAGCCGCTTACAGTAATACTAAAAGATCTGCATCCTCACGTTTGTGTGTAAATCTTTACGAAGTCTATTATATCAAAATCTACTTCATTGATTAACTTATTTATTCACTTTTTAGGTATTAGATTATTTGAGTAAAGTTAATTTCACTACTAAAACTGGTGAGACAGTATACTTTGATGAAAATGGGGACCCTGCAGCAAAATATGAGTTAGTAAACTGGCAGCTTAATGAAGAAGGCAAGACGGAGTTTGTCACAGTCGGTCACTATGATGCGTCTCTACCAGAAGATACACAGCTTAAACTCACCGGTGCGCACATTGTCTGGACACAAAATGAGGACCAGGTAAAGTTCAAATCTGGATTAAAAGGCCAATGTATAAGTCAGCAGTCCAGAATAAAAAAGTTAAAACATCAGAGGTGATATTCACATGGGGCATCTTAGTGGCATGGCAGTTAGCTCAGCTGCTTCACAGTTCCTGGGTGCTGGGCTTGATTTCCAGCCTGCAGCCCCTCCTGGCATGTTGGCCATGTGGGTTTTCACCAGGTGCTCTTGTTACCTTCACCAGTAGAAAGCATGTCTACAGTACAGTATGTGTGTAATTGCATGTGGGCAGGTGTGCCCTGCGATGACCGATACCTTATTAAAGATGTACCCTGCTCAAACTGCAGCTCACTGCAAACCTCTGTTAGACTAAGAGGTGAAGGAAGTTAGCTTTCCCCTTTTCTGGTTCTCCATCGCAATTTATCCCTCAATTTGTGTCACTTTTGGCTGTTACTGCACAGTTTAATGAAGAGCCTCCTCAAATGAAAACAGATGGATGTACAGTACTGTATGTTCATATAATAGTGGTTCATATTAGCTGGCTCTTTACATCCTTAACTCTAAAAGGAGAAAAAAGATCCATATGTCCATATGTTTTGAAGAAAAACATCTTTGTCTGGGGTCTATAAATTCCACAAGTGAATTTAAATTAATATATATATAATAAACATAATTACTAGTCAATTTTTAAAATAATTTACTGTTTTTTTGTGAAATAACTAAAATATATCTGTCATTACACTATTATTTTCTTACAAAACAATCATGTTTCTGCTGTTTTAAAGGCTCCCGTGTCAGTGTGCAGTGAGAGCTGCGCTCCAGGCACTCGGAAGGCTGTTCAGAAGGGAAGGCCTGTCTGCTGCTTTGACTGTGTACCATGTGCTGAAGGAGAAATCAGCAACACTACAGGTATACTGTATGTTTCAAAGAGGTTACAGTTGGCAGATGTGTCAGGATGCAGGCTACATGGGAACAAAGAGGTCATTCATTCCACACTGAAAATGCAAAAAAAATACTTTAAATGTGATCTATTCTATTCTGTTATTCTATTATCTTTTTAGTGTAGAATTAACCTCAATCATTTTTTGGTGACATACATGCACAGTATATAAACATATGTTTATTATTTATCCATCTATAAAATATATAATCAAATTACTAAGTATCTATGTTATTTTGTGAATATTATTGTCTATACAGTATCTAGTCAATGCTATCCCAGTAAGTACAATACAAGATGCAGACAAGCACAAAAATGGACGTGGAAATATGGTTGATAATAACTGTCTGGGTCCTGAAATTAATTATTGCTGAACTTTAAATGTTGGTCTTAATTAATCTTTATATATGTGTGTCCATATTTAGTCTGAAAAAAATGTTGAAAAAATTAATGGTGCATTTTGGACCAAAAATAAAAAGGTAAAAGAAAGGTAAAGGATATTCTTCAGTAAAGGATAGAATAATAAATTAATCTTCTTTTTGTCCTGCAGACTCAATTGATTGTATAAAATGCTCACTGGAGTACTGGCCAAACAGTCAGAGAGATGAATGCGTCTTAAAGGAAACTGAATTCCTTTCATATGAAGAAATAATGGGAAAAGTGCTGGTGTTTTTCTCCTTGCTTGGAGCTACCATAACCTGTTCTATTACCATTGTTTTCTTTCGGTACAGAAATACTCCCATTGTTAAAGCCAATAACTCTGAACTGAGTTTCCTTCTGCTCTTTTCATTGACTCTGTGTTTCCTCTGTTCACTTACTTTCATTGGCCAGCCCTTTGACTGGTCCTGTATGTTGCGCCACACAGCATTTGGGATCACATTTGTCCTGTGCATCTCTTGTGTTCTGGGGAAAACAATAGTGGTGTTAATGGCCTTTAGGGCTACACTGCCAGGCAATAACATCATGAAATGGTTTGGCCCCACACAGCAGAGGTTTAGTGTTCTTGCTTTCACACTCATACAGGTCTTGATATGTACTCTTTGGTTGACAATATCACCTCCCTTTCCTTACAAGAATACAAAATACTACAAAGAGAAAGTCATTCTGGAGTGTGATATAGGATCACTAGCAGGATTTTGTGCTGTGTTAGGGTATATAGGATTCCTCTCTGCCATGTGCTTTGTGCTCGCTTTCCTGGCTCGGAATCTACCTGATAACTTCAATGAAGCCAAATTCATTACATTCAGCATGCTCATATTCTGTGCAGTCTGGACAACATTCATTCCAGCTTATATCAGCTCCCCTGGAAAATTCACAGTTGCAGTGGAAATATTTGCTATTTTAGCATCAAGTTTTGGCTTACTTATATGTATTTTTATGCCAAAATGTTATATTCTCTTACTTAAGCCCGAGAAAAATACAAAAAAATATCTAATGGGGAAAATGCCTTCAAAGTCACTTTGATGGAACACAATTTTTTTCCCCCATTTATTTCTTTCACTGTACATTTCATTAAATAGTTTGAATTGTTGTGGCCTTGGTCAGCAGAGTGCATTTTGTTGTTATTGCAAGTGAGTTCTGAACTGAACGTCTTTTGTTGATCACTAGTATACCACTCACAAAGAACTAACACATACACTGCAGTTATCCAAATTATTTATAAAAACATGCAGAATTTTACTCTAAACTAAACAAAACATTCATTTTTATGTATACATAACCAATGCTTCTTCTAGCTCTTTAAGTGCTTTAGTGCACCACTGCCTGTCCTGCTGGGGTCTCCCAGAAACTAAGACAAAATCCAGTGCTGTGGCACTAAAGCTGACGTACTGTACAGACTTCACCTGTTCCTCCCCATAAAGACACATATTCTGTACTTTTGCCTACATACTGCACACTTTCTTCTTTCCCTTCATGTTTTTATTTATTTTAGAACAACAAATTCCAGTTTCCCTTCACTATGACAACAACCCAGTGGTGAACAAGAAGGACAACAATTTATTGGCATACCATCTGCTTTTCCTCATTAACCTGTCCATTAGCTTGAGCAAAGCCAAGTGCAAGCCCAGCCCATTGAAGAGCCACAAAGACTCTCTGGCCTTAATTCCAAGGAACTACGAAGTCAGCCCACCAGGCCACAAGAGTCAAGACTGTCGCATCTGAGAATACTAAGGTCACTTGGGTCACCTTAAATATCCCAAATTGTAACAACTGTGTAATGTGCAGCTCCCATAATTTGCAATGTAATTATTTAATTTATTTGAGCGTTTTATTGCATGATAAATAAAAAGGAATCCGAAAAAAAGGACTGTTGAAAAATGTTTCTAAATACACAAAATCGCCCAAAAGAGAGTTTCAGAGTCAAACTGTATGTATGACTGGGTAATTGCATGGCTATGAGGACCCCACGAACACAACAACAAGTCGTTAATGAACCCGGTAAACATTTCTTTATAAATCCACTATAAAAATAATGAGAAAGCCAAAACTACTACCTCTACTACTACTTCTACTAATAATAATAATTAATAAAGTAATGTCGGGGAGACTGTGCTTAGCAAGCAACAAGTGCAAGGCAGGGATAACCTTATAAAGGACAGGACTGTCACTGGTTGTAATCTACCAGTGACAAACAGCTCTACACTGCAATTTCATTAGCTGTTTTTTCCCTCAATGCATTCTGGTAACTAACACATTAAAAGTCAGGGAGCTGGTGTCAAGGCAGAGGATGTTCCCCTGGTTACAAACAATGCACTGCTCTCACAAAAATATATATTTCATCAATTAAAATTAAACAATTTTCACAGTGAAAACCAGATCTGAAATTACATACTGTATTTAAGAAATAAAAAGAAACAAATAATTTGAGAACAAATGATCTGAGGAGGTATTGTACAGGTACTGTACATTTATACTGATTTGAGCTCCAAAACCACAGTGGCCCAGATCAGGACACTATCTGGCTGCTCATTCTTTCCCTTGCGGCTCTCTTTAAGTTTGCCATTGAGAATTACTTCTTTAGCAAGACCAAGATTAACTGAATGTCTCTTTGTGCACCTGTGACACACAGCCTGCTATAAAAAGACTCCATATGGTAATAAACAGAATGGAGATAAAAGAATCTGTGCAATGCTCTTGGAAATTGTGCTCATTGCTATTTTAGCAAGTGCAGATGACTTGTTATGCAGACTACAAGGAAAACCTGAATATCCACAGTTGTCAAAGGATGGAGACATTATAATTGGAGGGATTTTTCCATTCCACAGCAGCTGGAGTGATACAAACCTCACTTTCTCACATGTGCCAGAGCCTCTGAAATGCTTGAAGTAAGTAAGAAGCCTTTAAATCATCATACAATTCAAGAGTAAAAGAACCAAAGAAAGAGGATTATAGTTTCTGACTTCAGTATATACAACAAAGCTGCAATTATAAATAAAATAGGAAATTTGAAATTTGATGTATTGATAAATGTTTAGGAGTACTCAATATAAAGGAATGTATAAGACTATCTTGCTCACTCACAAATATATTTGCTTCTAGTTTAAATTTCAGGTCATTTCAATATGCTCAGACTATCATCTTTGCCATAGAGGAGATAAATAACAGCACAGACATTCTCCCGAACGTTTCACTGGGTTATAGAATCTATGATTCATGTGG